TCTCTCTCTCTCTCTCTCTCTCTCTCTCTCTCTCTCTCTCTCTCTCTCTGCATGCATGTATATGTGTTGTGATAGTAAACATAAAAAACAACTATTACTAGATTTGCTTTTAGGTTTCCACACTATATACTGATTCTTTGAAACACAGAACATAGAACATGAAACATGGAATTTTGAGTTTCCAGAATATTCTTAGACTCTCTAACCATTTCTTTGGAAGTTTCTTCTGGGAGGAACATTTTGAAACAGTGAGAGTTTCTTGATGTGAACTGAAAAAGTCTGGTCCCGGCTTGGCCCTGATAGCTTTTATAAGAAGATCATTCAGACATACATCTGGTTAAAGCCATCTGTGGTATCTCCTGCCCCCCTGTGGACACTTGGAAAATTGCTACTCGTAGGCAAAACTGCTTGAGCAAGGACTGGTAAGCCTAATTAATCTTTTTAAAGGAATTATTTAAATGAATTGGAAGATCATCCCTAAAATGTATGTAGAATATGACATCAAACATTCATAAATTATAGATATGCTATGCAGAAATATAAGACCAAAACCAAATAAAATTGCCTCATTTATTACTATCTTAAACTTGGGCTCGTAACAGTTTTTAGATGATTATTTCATGTTGGGTCAGGGAGAACATTTTGTCTTAAGTAAAGAAAAGATATTGTCCCAGTGAGGATGAGGAGGGGTGATAAAAGGTTCTAACCTCAGCACTCATGGAGGTAGAGGCAGGGGGCCTCTGAAAATGTGAGACCCTCCTCTATGTAGCAAATTGCAGGCCAGTGAGAACTATGCAATAAGACTCTGAGTCAAAACAGAAACAAAACAAAACACCTTTCCTTTTAATTAGTAATATTTGAAGTATTATTGGAAAAACAACTTCTTTAAGAAGTGTCTGACCTATTAGAATGGTAGTGTAATCCGACCCAATAGGAAGAAACCCATGTCTTAAGAGGCCCTGGAAACGCGGACCTGGAAGCCGTCATGAAGAATGCGCCGTGTGTGGTGCCCCGTGAGTGGAATCTCATCTATAGGGCACAGTTCTTATGAGGACAGGATAAAAAATATGAACCTTATCTGGTAGGCTCTGAATTTGTGCTTTACTATCAGACACTGCTTAAATAAACTGATGAGCCGACAGTCTGGTAAGATTATATATCCTGTGAATGGCCTTAAAGAAATGATATTTAACATGGGCATGTTTTTTTATTTTATTATTTTACTTATTCACTTGACATCCCATTCACTGTCCCCGTCCTGGTCAACACAATCCTTCCTCCATTCCCCTCCTCTTCTCCACTTAGTGGATGGGGACCCCCCCCCCGTGTACACACACACACACACACACACACTTCAAGTCTCTGCAAGGTTAGGCAGTTGACTGGCTGAGATGGGCAGGAAGTTAGAATGTTGCATCTGGGTACTTGCAAAAAAGACAAGGTCTCTAATGGAAAATTCAAGTCAACCTGTTCCTGCTCTCCTGTTGTTCTACTCCAGGTGATCAACATCCAGTCATGCTGCAGTTTGTCCATCCCAGTGGTTCTCAGTAGGTGGACCTGACCAAGAAGCATCAGCCTTACCACCAATCTGCTCGGTTAGAAGCCCAAACTAAGACCCAGAAATCTTCCTTTTCAGCATGCCCTGCTGAGGGCATAAGGATGCATACTGATCCAGGTTCTGGTTGGCAAACCATTGACCTACACCATCAAGTAGGAATAAGAGACCTGCCAAGGACTTCAAGATGTGTCCTGATTTTTTAAGGAAAAGCTCTAAGGAAAATCTGTACTATGAGACTGTATTTCCGATTAATGATTCTTATTCCTAATGAGCAAATAAATTTCATCTCCTATGTGAACCAGATAAATTTAGTGGTCTATAAGCATTCCAAGATATGAATGGTTAATTCAGACTGATCTCTAAAAACAAATGGCGTTGAGCCTGCTTCAACATTGAGGGAGAGAGAGAAAGAGAGAGAGAGAGACAGACAGACAGACAGACAGACAGACAGAGACACAGAGAGAGACAGAGAGAGAGAGAGAGAGAGAGAGAGAGAGAGACGAGAGAGGGAGGGAGAGAGAGAGAGAAAGAGAGAGAGAGCATCAGAATGAAGCAGACTGCAGGTGCGTCTAGTACTGGTACTCTATGGTGCTGACAGAGGACCTGGAGCTTGAGCTCTGTCATTTCTTGGATATTTAAACTCAGCACACCCTCCCTTTACTATGGTGCCCCATAGCTACAACTTTTTAGCCATTGGTAAAAAATAAAATTTAAACAATACCTAACAAGCTCTGTCATCCAGATGGAAGAGAAAATGTGTATGCTCTGGTCATTTGTGCAGATTAGATTAGGTCTTTTGTGCAAATAACCTTCTGTGCAGTTTGAAAAGTTAGTGTAAACCCTCCATTGCCTTCACATACAGGGATGTCATAATGAAACATCTCAGTACAATTCATACATAGAATAAAAGATCAGATTCACCAATGTGTACAAATTCTCACAGATGTGAGTATGGTAATGATAGTTAAGTAGCTTAATATCTTGATTTTTTTTAAATAGCAAAGAGTTCTCTGTTAATTTTAG